AGGAAGGAAAAAAGTATACCAAAACGTTATAGAAATACGAAATATGCATATTTTGCAACTGCCGTCGTCATAGTAATACTTTCATATCCACAATTTCCAAAATGTGACAATTAAAACATGTTTTTAAACTCCGTTTAACAATTAAATGAACGACTGTGTCTCACTATTTACTTTGCGAATACACATATAGTGTTTACATTTTTAACCGGATCAATGACCATAACTGGACACTTCATTGATGAGTTTATCCCAAAACACCTATCTATATATGGACTGGTCTATGATGAGCGAACCGTTTAAACTCCGCCCTGTCAAGTGAAATAAATATTAAACATTATTTAAAATCTTTAAATATTTAAAACAAACGAATTCAAATTTGCCTTTCAGTACATAAAAATGGAACAAAGGAACTTTCGTCTTTAAAACTCTCACCGCTTCTAATTCTGATCTTGGACGAAGATTATTATCAGCCATTATATCATCGACGTCGTTTGTCAGCAATCCATTCATACTCAACTCTGACAACAACTATATATATGTATATAATTATGACCAACGTGGTCAATCTACACACAGTCGTACACATAATGATTCACCACAGGTCAATCGGCACGGGGAATACACAAATGGAGGGCGGAGTTTCGGAGACGGTAACAGGCGTGGACGAGGCGGTTTTCAGCAATCACGTGGTAGGCATTATTAGTTATCCTGCGGGTTTTGGAACATTAACGGGTGGAGTAAATATATAAATAATGATAAAAATAGTTTGCTTGCTGCTTGTATTGCGGAACGTAATTTGCATATATTAGGACTAACTGAAACTCATCTGATTGGACAAGCCGGTATCGTCGTCAATGGCTACACATGGATAGGAAATAACCGTAAACAATTACGCGTGCGTGCTAGAGCGGGCTCGGGAGGCGTTGGTTTATTGGTGCGAAATGATGTTTTATCAGATTATAATGTTATGAAAATAAACGATTTAGTTGATGGTATTATAGGCATACGCTTTTCCGAGAGAAATAACCCAGCGTCTTGCTTTTATATTTGTGTAGTTTATCTACCGCCAGTAAACATTCATGAATTTTTAGATTTGCTTACATCCGATATTTATACTATTCCAAATGGTAGTCCATTCTACTTATGTGGAGACTGGAACAGTCGGGTTGCAGATATGCCGGATTTTATAACGGAAATTGATAATTTACCTGAGCGACAAGTTGTAGATTTTACTCACAACACGTATGGAGATATTTTGTGTGATTTTCTTAGTAATGTTAACTGTTGCATCTTAAATGGAAGGAACTCTTTACATAATGATTTTACATACGTTTCAACAAGAGGGACATCAGTCGTCGATTACTGCATTGTACCGTATGAGAAATTAACTTTATTTGACAATTTTGAGGTTATTAGAGCTCAACAATTAATTGATAGTATATTTAAAATTGGGGAGTATGAACCTAAACATATTCCAGATCATTCGTTATTATGCTGGACTTTTAGTACACAAGTTTGTTTGAATGAAAAAGTAGCAGCATGCGACAAGTTACATGCAGAACAGAATAAAAAAACTAAATTTGACACTCGCAATATACCTAATGAGTGGATGGCAGATGCTGATATAGTTGAGAAATTAAATCAGTTTCTACAGAACCTAGAATTATCAGGAATTAATCAGACAGAATTGGGAAATTTTAATAAATTGTGTTTTAGACATAAGATGACACAACGTTACAATGAAATTGTAGAAATTATACATAAGTTTCCTAATTGTGAGTATGAGTGTAAAAGAGGGACGAAAAAATTATGTAATATTGTAGTGAGGAATTATCTTTTTGTTTATTTACAGTTCAATTTAATAAATTCAAAATCAGAGTTACAACTGATTTGTATTCCACAGCCAATTTTATTCCAGCTATTTGCGTTAAATACTACTTAATTAACTAAAATTAAAATTTTGAAAGAAATTGCTCTTTATAGGAAATTCAAAAGTAAATTCAATTTCAGTGTGTACCGGTATTTTGGAAATGACTATTCTTACTAACTGCGAATACAGTTATCTGAGTTTTGATAAGCGTAATACATGTAACTAAAGATTTAGGTTATATTTGATTTGATTTTTATTTTTATTTTTCTTCTTGATATTGCTTTTTTTTTTTTTTTGTAATTTGAAAGTTCTAATTATTCACATGATAACACAAACGGTATCAATTGTACTGCACAAGTAAACTTCAAACTTATTTTGGTCATTTTTTTGTTTGTTTCAAAATTCAACTTTCAATCAATAATCATAATAAATGTGCTTCAGGTAGTTGTAACTCATTTATAGAAATTCTTTGTTTTGAACTGTAAATAGGCCTAAACTAAAGGATAATCCCTTAATATTAAAGAACATGATTTACATTCATTCTTCACAATTAAGGAACACCAAATTCTACACTTTCATTGGTCGGGAGCACTTTGCTATATTCTAATTATTGATAAATATTTAACATGTTAAGTGAATGTTATAAATACACACATCAATTTATAGCAATAACCGTCATGAAAAAAAAGTAACAAGTGAACCCTCTAAGAGCGACAGAAGACGTGGTTGAAAAAAACTTTCATGATATATAATGTGCGGTTATGCAAACTGGCATATTTAGTTAATTTTGACAATTAAAAGAACTGTTCAATGCATCATCGTATATTTTTTAATCAAATTTTTCTGTACAAAAATATGTATTACGTATTTCCCATGATGTAGTTAGATTCAACATTGTTTCCGAAGGACAAAGTTAAAAAAAATTGAGAAAAGATCATAATCAAATTGAGAATTTTAAGTAAAGTCTGGTTGTTGCGACAGACGCTTGATTATCTCAACATTCTTCATACATGTATGTATGTTCTCAACTATATTTATTTTTTCCGTTGATTTTTTTTATTATTTTTATAATTATTTTTGCACAAAAGATGATACAAATGTACATTTAATTGAATTTGGAAGATTTCCATTCGTTTTCAAGTAATAGAAAAGATCACATATCACAAAGCCCATACAACTTTCTATTTCAGCCTGTCAAGGAGCTATCAAAATGATTTTACAGGCAGCAGACATATACGAGATGAAAACCTCAAGACTATATCTATTCAGCATTGATTGCATAGCTAGTCTTCGATTTGATTAAATTTATGCTTCAGTCACTGAAGGATTAGCATACTTAAATAAAACTGTCATGATCTTGTAGAACCAGTTGGTGAGAAAGGTCTAAGAGTCGAAATATGTCAATTATATACCAAAATCATCATTCAAAAGAGTAATAATTGGTTTCATATCTTGGACCAATATTAACAGAGGCTTCACGACCACAGATTTTTTCTTTTCCAGTAGATTGTTCTTATATGACTTTTCTTGGACACTGTGAAACAAGGACTGCATACTCTATTGGAGCATCAGGTTTAACCCATGTTTAATAACATTAACAGTTCCAATTATACTGCACCAGATGCACATTTCAACAACTAATGTCTATTCAGTGAAGCTGGTGGCCAAAAGATTTGAAAGTTCAAAACTTACACAAACTATGAACAGCTGATATCAAATAAAAGGGAAAAAAAATTGTAGACAAACATGTACACTGAACCAGGGCCCGTATGCATAAAGCTACTTAATTAAGTTAAGATTTGTTCCGAACGGACAGATTTTTCTACATGGCCTACGATAAATTTATAGTATTACGAATGGATATCTTAACTTAAGTGGTTTTATGCATACGGGCCCCAAGCTAAACATTTAAAGTGAAGTACAAGTGAAATGTACTTTGAAGTACCGCCACCAATAAATCAGTTCAGGGCGGCATCATTTCATACCAGCTGGTTAACTTTGTGTTTTTTTCAGTTACTGCTAATAATTCAAGCTCACTTAGCCCGACCGTCCATGTGTGCTGTTAACATCACCTTGAGTATCTTGTCTATAAACTTGTTTTTTTACTAGTAATTTATTCTAAAGTAGCTCAAAGGATTGAAACCTAAGTTTGTCTGCTCTATCTATATATAAGATGTCTACTTCTTACTTTTTTGGCAGTTCATGACTATTGTTTTGAAAACTATAGGAGCTACATGTAGGTTAAAAGTATAAATTGCAAAAATGATCAACAGGGCATGTTCTATCTTCCTGATAATTTTCAAAACTAATTGCCCCTGAAATATAAGCTTTAACCAATGTTCACAGTTAGTTTTTGACTGTTATCTTTTAAACAATAGATGTTTAATGTGTATCAGCACTTAAACATGTATCTACTCTGAAAATCAGAGAAAATCCAACAACCTCGTTTTGGACTAATTAGTCCGGAAACATTTTTTTAGACTGATTTTTGCTGTTTTTGGCAGTTATCTTGAATATCATAGGAGCTTGGTAAAAATGTTAATGCAAAAATGATCAGCACAACAAGATCTATCTACCCTGAAAATTTTAGAAAAGTCTGTCAACCTGTTTTGGAGTTATTGTGCCAGAAATACCTTTTTTTTCTCACCAATTTTCACAATATTTTGCTGTTATCCTGAAAATTATATATCATTATTGTAAATGGATAACTTTTCAAGAATAAAATTAACTCCAAGTTGCATAACTGCCTCTATCGACAATTTAACGAAACACCTTTTGTTTCTGTACCAGGTCAGACTATCTAATCCTTATATTTTTGTTGAAGCTGAAATCCTTATTTGATTTGATTTTGATTTTTGGTGTTTTAACGCCACTTTTAAGCACCGCTTTTGGGCTATTTCGTGGCGGCCAGTTTTTATTGGTGGATGAAGCCGGAGTGCCTGGAGGAAACCACGACCTTCGAAAGGAAAACTGACAATCCTAGTCAATTAAGATTGGAGTCGAGTGGAGCGGGGTTCGAACTCACAATCTCAGTGTTGACTGGCTAGTGATTACAGTAGTAACTACTGAGACCACTCAGCCACCGAGGCACCCTGAAGTCCTTACAAAATTCAGAAAAAATAAGAAGAAGAAGAACACCAAGTGTTTATTTGTTAAAAAGCAGTAGTAACATTTTCATTTTTATAGAAACAGACCACTTATCTATAACTGCAATTATTAACACAATCGTCAACAATCAAGTTTGAAACCACTTACACTAGGAATTACAATATAAATCATACTTGTGTTAACCTATTCTTCTTTTTTTCTTTGGCATGAGGTCAAATTTATGTATCAAGAGCTTTATAAAATGGTGATGTGACAACACTGCTCAGTTATTAAGGTACGTCTATAAGTCACCTGTAACAAGCTATTGATCCTGGATATATCTTTGTTCAGGTAAATAATTATATCATGTCCTAATCAAATTTCTTGTATGTGTTCAATTCTATTTTTCCATTATCTGAGAGCTGTTTAAAAATGTCTGCTAATCAAATTGCTCTTATGTAACAAAAGTTAATCTAACATAGAGTCAACTGATTCAAGCCTTATGCTCTGAGCAATATTGATTTTAATAATGATTTATAAAATACATCTTGATAAATAAAGCTTATTGAATTTACCAACTGCAATAAATGCTGGTTAACACTTGAATATTTATGCTGTAATATTCACATGAAAAAGTAATTTCTAGGCAAACATCCATCCATTAAAAACAACCATCACAGTACATGGGTTTATCTTGATTACAAAGCTGTCTATAACAGAATTACATATTAAAATGGATTCTTCCTTCTTTACATAGTACAACTGTTATATATCATGAAAATATTTGGTGATATTAGACATATTTCTTCTGTAGCAACTACAAGACACAAGTATACAAAATAAACATACAATAAAGTCTATCTCATCATACATATTTTTACCACTTCCATTCACACAAATGATGTTGATAACAAAGGTCAAACAAAATTAAAGATCAAATGCTCTAACGCCCATCTATGTGTATGAAAAAATTATGACCAAGTGGGACAATAATACTCTATTTCAATTTTGCCTGGCCTCATGAAGAATGAAATGATTACTACATGTAATGTATTACACCAAAAATGTTGCCATTAATGTATATATTACATGAATAAACCAAAAGGCTTGTTTACATGTGAAAAATAAAATATGACCATCTTAAACAATTTTCTGTAGGTTTTTCTGTTTTACAGATATATTTTTATGTGTACATTAAACACATTGAGAACACTTCGAGAGTTGACTATAGTCAACTCTTTTCTCAATTCAATATGAACAAAAGGAGATTAGGATGAAATATCTACAAAATAACAACCTGATATTACAATTAAACCAAATAAGACAATGAGGCTACCTTATGATCTCTTATGATAAGACAAGCATACAGACTATTCCAATAAATGATTGTGGGAGGGCAAGAAGGGACTTCCAAGCTCCCCAAACGACCAACATAATGTGGATTCAATATTATTCATTAGATACCAATTTTCATTGATTGTGTGGGTGAAGGTTTACCATGAATTTAAATGTTCAACAAAGTACAAACTTTCTATAGACTTGTATGCAGACTTTTGTAAAACTATGAAATAAAATACCCACGAAAGTGCCTTTTTTTGGCTTAATCCACGAAAATGGGTACCCACAAAAATATGTGAATCCTTAGTCTTTTCTTTGTGTAATTTTACATACATTGAATGGACATACAACTAAAGATTACCTAGGAAACAAATTTCCTTCCTACCCTCTCATATCTATTTTAATGGAGTAGTCCCGAGTGTGTAGTATTGAATGATCTTTTTATGACTTTGATTATTAAATGACACATTTATTAATCAACTATTTGTAAGTCCTCATCCATTAAAGAAGCTTGAAAGCAGAAATTCAAACTATTTTTTATGTTTTTTTTTCAATAAAAAAGCTTTACAGCAAAAATTATCATAACAATGAGGGCTTTTCAAGAATTAATTGAATTTAGGTGTCGGAAAGCACTTTAATTAAAATTTGATAGAGGGTGGTTATTTTAGACAGATAGCCTTAACAATTATATGAATAATCAATTAAAATTTTATGCATGGCGGGGTTAAAATAAAAATGCCTTCCGACCCCCATACATTTATTTCTGAAATAGCTCTTAATAAAATTCCCTAGTTCAAAAGTAAAATTTATCATTTAAGTGATCATATGAATGAGTTATTGGAACACTTGATTTGATTGTGCTTTGCTGTTTGCTCTGTTTAGGAAACTTTGTTGCAATAACCGTAGCAAATTAGTAACTTTTAGTGTAACTAAACTATGTTTCCTATAAACGGTTATAACAGCTATTACAGGACTGACTACATGAGAAAATCAAGTCATTAACCTTCAATAATAAAGGACTAAAAAATTGTTCCATCAAACTCTTAGTCTCCCCTCTGCTATCAGTGTAAAAGTGTAATATTGATTTCAAAATGTCAAATTGTCAGTAAAATATCAACAACAATAAAATTATTTCCAAAATTTTGTCTTTTGATCATGAAAAACGTTCTGTCCAAGTCTCATAAAATGCAGTGATGGTTTGACAATGTTACTGATGTCTAAACAAAATCTTTAACCAAAGACATCCCTGTGGAATGTAGGATCGCTTTGTCTTACTTCCACAACAATATGTCACCGGCTCAACAAAAATGATAAGTCACATATCATGAAATGCATCATTGCTGAAAATTACTATCAATTACTGTACAACTGTTTAAAATTTGCAAAAATATTTTACTTTTGAATGTAAAATAAACATAAGCATCTAAATGGACATACTAAATATGTCATCTATATAAAAAAAAAAGTTAAACAAAACAGTAAATTAGACTGCAGGATATTTGTTCACATTATGCAATCATGACGTTCTAGAGAACTAAGTTCAACCTCTACCTTATATAAACCAAATTATATGTGATGATGATAATAACAAACATTATGATTTCATTCAGAGATTGTTCCTGGTTTTAGCTCATCCCAAAGAATTTGACAGATCTATCCATACTGACTGAAGAAACGAATGTTGAGTTGTGACCAAATCTGACACCGGTTGCCATGGCAGTGTGATCGTTGAATACTCCTAATTCCTGCCACTGTTTACATAAATACACTCTGTAAATATACAAAAATAAAATATAAAACAGCCATAATGATTCTGAGCTTTAAAGGTTTCTGTCTTCACATTTTTTATGTTTTATTTTACTTCATATCAAACATCCATTAATTATCAGATTTTGTTGAACTTTACTGGTATTTTGAATAAACATTTTTTTTATTTAACCTTATTTTCCTTTATTCAAAGGTGCGCTTGCCCTCTTGGTCATACAAACACAATCTTATATAGTATTAAGATGTATTAATATACCTGTATGTGCATTCTTTCTTCTCTTATATTCCACAAGAGAGAAAAGATAAAAAAAAAAAAATTTATAGAATTGATTGCCTTTGGTATGTTTAAGAGGTATAAAGGTGATTCGGAGTTTCTTTCGAATTATAAACCTCATAATCATTTTCACCATCAACATTGATAAATAGACTTATCATAGATACCAGGCTTAACATTTTGTATGCCAAACACGTGTTTTGTCTATAAATGACTCATTAGTGATGCTCAAATCAAATGAGTTAAAAAGGCCAAATAGATTACATATTGGACTCGCCAAAAAATGGACCTATAATTTAATGTATTAATACATAAAAATAAACAAGAGTATTATTTTGCTTATTAACAATATTGAATGATTAACGACTATGAAGAAGTTATCCAACTATAAAGTGTTTACCTAATGTCTGATCCTGCTACAGCCAGGTAAGTTCCACTTTGATCAAAACATAACGACCTCACCTGTAAAATAATGTAAAGATAAGTATCTACCGTAATATGAGTGACTAACTTCAACTAATACATAAACTTTATAACTTCTACCACCTAGGGGTTTTCATGGTCACCTCAAGTGATGGGGGTCACAGGTTCAAACCAAAGACTTGGAAATTTGTTTTTGCTGCTTCCCTGCTTAGCATTTTTGCTGTCATCACTAAGACAAAATTTCTATTTGAAGTGGTAAGGATGGGGTATGCAGATATAGGAGGGTGTGGAGGGTATACAGATATACAGGAACATTTAGCAGATTTAACACATTTTTTTGAGATCTCATTGTATTGTTCATATGAGGAATCAATATCATTTTTTTCTCTCCAAATTATTTATTACCATAAAGTGCACTTTTAAAATTCAATCAGATGCTAAAGTGCCCTTTTCCAAACTTTGTTCACATGCTTTGGTGTCCTTTTTTCAATTTCAGTTCACATGCTGGAGTGCCATATTAGCAACCTGTCGTTTTCCTGACTGCAACACCAATACAGTTCTTTCATTTTCTATTAATGTAATGTCTGTTTAACATTTAAATACAACTAATCTATTTGAGTGTATAAGAAATGAGCTGTCAAATTGACAGCAAACCAGGTTTACTGTATTTGGAAGGTAACCATTTTGAACTTGAGAGGGCAGCTAGTAACAAAATACTTTAAGTGCTTGTACACACAGCTATTACAGATCTTAATAAATGTTTTATCCATTTTGGAATAACCTACTTCATATTTATCATCCAATGTTAATGTCTTGAAATTCTTCAGTTTTCTTAAATCCCACAGTTTGACAACAGAATCTTCAGCAGATGTGGCCAAATAGTAACCTGTGGAAAAAAATTACTTGTTAAGAACTAAGAATTTTATAAACCATTTCAATTATTATTGAGTTAGTTTGTATGATAATATTACAACGCTTTAAGAATTATCACTTGAAAACTTTAAGATGTGAACATAATGTCAGAAAACATAAATATCTCAGTACATATTCCATTTGTATTGACTGTGAAATTTCTGCAACTACATATCCTTTAAAAACATTTAATTTTGCTTCATGCTGGATAAAAAAAAAGTTTTCCATAAACACAATACTAAATAAGAAAAAAGACAGAATTGAAAACTTACCATTTTCAGAGAATGCTATACTTGTAATTGGACCTTGATGGCCAGGGAAGTTAGCCACATTAGCTCGTTCTTTTAAATCCCAAATTTTGATCATTGAGTCCTCTGTTCCAGTTCCAAAAATCAAACCATCAGGATGGAACTGTGCACATGTCAAAGCTATCAATAAAAGTATTCAAGTAAATATAAATCAAAACGATTTAAAATAATGCAGAAACTGAGCAGATGTCAAAGCTACAGAAGTAATATAAAGCAAAACAATATAAAATAATGCAGAACAATTGGAAAAAATCCAATAAAAAAATCAATCTTATAATCAGCATACAAATGGACAAAGTAAACTACAATTAAACTTGACAACATTGTATATCAGAACAAAACTGTGCATACAATTTCACAAATGGCTATCATGGTGAAATGAAATCAATATTTTTAACAATAATTTAACCTCCAAACTAAAGCTAAAAGCTGCAGAATTATTATATTTTCTTACAATGTACTTAAACTTCTAAATAAGGATAACATACCATGCTGAGATTGTGGATCATTCACCTTTGTCAACACTCTACCAGTTCTCAAATCAGAAAATGCCCAGTGCTGAAATTATTATATAAATATTACTCAATAAATATACAAACAACTAAACTACAACTGTGAGAGAACTCACAATAGAATGCTTCTGCCCCACAATTGGATTAGTTTATTGAAGTAAAATAAGATTATCTCCCCTTTAATATGGTCCACAGGGATTATTTTCCTCTAAGCACATCCTTGTGTTGTGTTCTACAACTCTGTTAAGTTTCATCAATACCTATTTGGCCAATTAGGAGGAAGTGCGCTTTTAAGACACATAGACAGACAGATGGACCAACATCCAGAATGATTCCTATATATTCTCTACCCCTAAAAAGATATTATCAGCGGGATATGTAGACCTAATTTAAGTTCACAGATACTTTCAAATCATTTAACAGACAAGTTTTTAGAAATTAATTTATGAAAAGTTTGTTTTCCAATTCTTTCTCAAATAATTACTTCAAAAATTGAAGATGATTGTATAAAGAGTGAAGATAGATTGTAGGATGTTTAAAAATAAAGCCTTTTTTATTTTTGCCACTACCAGGACAAATAAACATAATTTGATTTGTGTGTTGTTTTTGTTGTTTTTATTGTTTTCATGTAACTGTGTAAAAAATGTGCTGATTATTTAGTGGTGTGATAGCCTTTCTTCAACATTTCTACAAAAATCTACTTTCAGCAGTATAAATGGTAGTAATTTTAGTATGTAGTTAACCAATGGTTCAACTTTTATTCTTTTTCTTGAATTTAGCATGTTGTAGTTTTATAATAACTAATACTCAAATGTTCATAAAGCACAATAAATGTAAATCTAAAATACAGATGCATACCCAGGCTTCAAGGGAAAATATTGTGAATATGAAACCTTGAAATAGCTAAAATTATGAAAAAAAAGAAAATTTATGTGAACACAGTTTAAATATGACAGCTATTCAAGCAAGTTACTTGATTATTGTTGTTATCATCTGAAAATTCTGGAGTGTCTAAATTTGATCATTATCCTTAAAATTGACCGAAAAAACAAGGGTGCACATACATATTTATGAGTGGGACATATAATTCAAAATGATTCAGAAATATATAAGAGCTGAAATAGCCTCCATATATATGTACTTACTGTATCTGTAGATGAACTGAGAAGATAATCTCCTGTAGCGTGTAAACTGATTCCTGTGACTGGGGCATCATGGGCTCTGATAATCTGAGCACATTGAGCTGTCTGTACTCCCCATACTCTGATTGTACAATCTGGTGAGGCTGTAAATACTAACTCCTACAAAATATTAACAAATTAAAGGTTATTAAGGGCGAGGTAAAAAGTAGTGACCATCAATTTAAAATAATAAATAGTTCATCTAACATCTGAATATAATGTTCTTTACTTGTCTGGTTTTGTTTCTTTTGTGCAATGAAATAACCTATACACAAACTCACTGAGTATGTCTATTGAAAGGAATCTTTAATTAGAAATAAGAAGATGTGGTATGAGTGCCAATGAGACAACTCTCCATCCAAGTCACAATGTTTAATAGGTCAAAGTAAGGCCTTCAACACAGAGCCTTGGCTCACACCGAACAGCAAGCTATAAAGGGCCCCAAAATGACTAGTGTAAAACAATTCAAACAGGAAAACCAACGGTCTAATCTATATAAAAAACGAGAAACACTTATGCACCACATCAACAAACAACAACCACTGAACAACAGGCTCCTGACTTAGGACAGGTGCATATAAATGCAGCAGGTTAAGTCTACTCTCAACAATGTGTGTTTTTCCTGTTACTGTAGACTTACAAAGCACATAATTTCATAAAACCAATTTTCATATGCTGCCTTTGAATAATGAAGTCCTAGGTTTTCAGTCATAAAACTATACTCAGTACTCCGAAAAACAAAATTTGTGCTGGAAACACCAAATCCAGTATTTTAAATGGTCTATTGCCGAATCTGATTATCAATGGTACTAAAGTTTTATGACTGTAAGCCCTGAACTCATTATATACTGCTATAAAATTCATGCAGATATTTTTGTTTCCTTGAAAGTCTATATAAAGACAATTAGATACAGTAGCAAAATAAATATCACACTATTTTTTTCTAGTTCTCATTACAAAGGGGTGATAAAGAGTTATATACCGTTAAAAGGCTTGTATAGTCCGCCTTTTTATTCTCCAAAATTGAACCTGCCAGACAGGGGTGCAGACTATAGAGTACAAAAAGCAAGAAATAAGAGAAAAAATTCGATTTCGCTAGGTAGTTTGTTTACCTTCTGCCATGTTTGTTATTGATATTGTAGAGGGCGCTCTTATCATTTTCAAAACTAATAATTTTACCTAATCAATATTAATAAGTTATTTTTATTCAATATCATATTAATACTGATAAATTTAAAAATTAAATGCTTCATTACAAATTTCTCATTTCTTTTCACTGCATTGCTTAAAATAAACTGGAGTCTGCTTGAATGAAACAGAACTAAAAGTATAAAAGTCTACCGTAAACCAGCTTACGATGTATAAACTACAAAATGTAATCGGTTATTATTTGTTCGGTTTTGGTGTTTCATACCAACAGTTATGTGTTGTATTAGCTTAAGACCCTTCAAACATTAATGTAATAGATATATTAAACATTTTTTTACACAATGATAGAACTGTTTTACTTTCAAAGTCCTATTATAGTGATATCTATTAAGAACGGATTTCGACTCTCACAGTTTTAATTTTCTTTTACACGTGCTATTCAAACTTCCGGTTTAAACATACACAAGTTTCTAAATTGTTTTTTTTGTGTGATTTTGACTTATTTTAACAATTGTGAAGTGTTCTAGAATCATTTACAAGCAGTTACAACTTCTGTTTGATGATGGAAAACAGGTTTTTCCATGAAAATACCGCAAACTACCACACACGATTTGAAATGACCGGAGTTTCATTAGACATTTTCTAACAGTTACAAAAAGTTTTTTTACCTGAAATATCGTGGGGAGAAGGGGATGTGGACAATGTACCAGTGCGAACTATACAAGCTCGATTATGGTATATCCCAAACCCTTTTCCTGAAACTGTGATAGTAAATATATAAGAATGATTTTTCTGCACCTACCTCATCAGGGTGATATATAACACTGGTGACCTTTTTAGAATGACCTTTCAATATGGCCATGACTTGTTCTGTATCTTTGTTAAACACTACTGCATTCTTATCATTACCACCTAAAATTATATATTTAAACAAACTAAAATTTTTAAGCCCTACATCCTTTTCCTCTACAAAAGACTCACCAGTGGTCTTGAATCAAAAAGTTAAAAAGGCCAAATAAAATATGAAGTTGAAGTAATCACAGTGCTGTATATCAAGAACAATAGTGTTATTAATCTGCAAAAAACTGAAATCAACATAAACACGTATCCAAAATAATATCTGATTGTATCAAAATATGTATTTAATAATCTGGTCTCCTGATTTTATATTGATTCATTTTTTAGACAAATGTACATAAATTAACATAATATGTATTATAAAGAAAACATGATTTTAAGGCAAGTAAATGAAAGCTTTTATTGCATATGTGAAAATCTTTTGTTAAATGTCAGTATTTTTATCTAACTTCTACAAATAAATCTAAAAAAATACCATGAGACATCAATTTTGTTGTCCTTAAAGAAAAAAATTAGTAAGGGGTTCTGCAGTACCCTGTGTCTCGTCTGTGATTGCTGCTGTCAGTGTTGAAGAGTAATGTTGACTTAAAAAGTGAGCCCAATTATCAGTTAAATACAGAATTTAAAAAAAATATCAAACTAAGTCCATTTATCAGTAAAATACGGAAAAATGAAAATAAATATTTTCATGATTTTGCTCCGACAGAATCTACGATCGCTATGTCTCACTTTCGTGAAATAAACAAAAATGTGGTGATATGATGAGAGATACAAATAAAATGGCAGTCCTTACCAGTAACAATCTTTGCTGTATCTTTAAGACAAATGTCTAATGATAATATTCCTGGAACACTGGCACTGTGTAAACCCTATAATTATAATTATTTCATTACTTTTTTCATAAAGTTTGTGTATATTTTAACTAAATTTCATTCTTTCAGGATTAAACTTCTACTTACGAATTATCAATATGATCTATCAATGTTTTGTATTCTTGTATAGAATGAAAAGTTAACCTTTCTAAAAAGAAGTCTCACAACTAACTTACAGCACTAAGGTTTGTATCACATTACAGTCACTTGATTTTCATTGTTTTTGTAACAATGACTTGCATCCCAATTTTTAGATCTAAATTGAACTTGTTAAATAATGCTCTGGTAGATGGTCAATAGTCCTCCGTTTCACATTTTTTCTTTCATTGACTTATTGCAATGAGTTCAACAGTAGAGACAAAAATTCCCTTGATTTTTCAATCATTATCTAAGGGGTTGCATTGAAACATGCATGGGACCTAGGAAGGCAATTTGAAAAATGGCACTTTTACTATGAAGTTTCGTAAAATATTATGTCCTAGAATGGTAAGTTTATATGCACTACTATTTTTTCAAAGGTCAAAACATAGGGCTGTGTGGCATATTTTCGATATTTATATGCCTCAAACTTCTAACAGTTTAAACTTATACTAAAATTCTGTACTACCCCACCCTTCACTTTGGGTCTTCCTCAGAACTCAATTTGGCAACTATCCATGTGTTAACATTCTCAAATGGTGTCTCTACGAGATAAAGCATAAAGATCATATCTGGGAACAAGTAGGTAAACAAAACAAAATATCTATAAATATTAAATGTCTTCCCAAAAGAGGCGTGGTTTTTGAAACAGCTGTATTTACAAAGGGCTATAGGTAGTTTCTCTATTTTCAAAGTGCCTTCCCTGATTATCTTTTATATTTTAATGGAACAGCCATAAAGAAATACTAATGGATAAAATTTTATGAATGTATCCATTTACTGTCTGAAGTTGTATAACTATGATTATATAAAACATGTACATATACATACTGTATGTGATGCTAGTTGTCTGTACTGTTTTATATCTTCTACTGTAGCTAATCCTTCTGGTACTGTTTTACCTCTCTGTAAAAAGAACATTTAACAATATCCTTTTGTTTCTTAGTTCTAATTTCTTTGTAAATTGTTATGGAGCAAGCAAGTGCTTTGTTTTATACATACTTACAAATATTTCTTAATTTTCTAAACAAGCTCTGGATGTATTTTTCAATCACTGAATTATATAGCATACTTGAAAATACTGTAATATTTAGATAATGATTTACAGTGGAGAATTAAAAGTGTTGAGGTTTCATGGTTGTACTTGAGGCTCATTTCCAGATGTGTAACTTCAGTTGACAAAGAATAAATTGTTTTCAATATACTAGGAATCTCTAACAACAAATCTCTCTCCTGTTTAACTGCCTCATTTTTTAGAAGACGGACTACTAATAGACTACTTTCGATTTATGTCCTTCACCGGAAAAGTTCGTCAATTATGCGTGTCTTTGTAAAGTCATTTACCAGATAGAGGGGATCGCCTGTATCCCTGCACTATCAAAGTTCATCAAGCCTCTTCGTGATCGTCATTATGCAGGATGAACTAGAAATATTGTTTGTTCCGTAGGTACTTAATTACAATTCCCTAATGACAGCAGTGCTGATTATCAATAATAAGAATTTAATTTGCAGAATAATTCGTGCAATACAGCATTATATTTTTCAACCACTCGCTCAACATGGGAAGGAAGTGACGATGCCCCTAAACGCACGAATGATGTTCACTAAAACCAAAGTTTTTGACGAAAATGCAACAAACTCGAAAGTTGTCTATTGAGTGTTATCATCATTTACCTTCTTTCTTTCAGCTGTCAGTAAAGTGGCTTTGTCTTGTAACTGAAAAAAAATACATTTTTCGTTACAATTTTATACATTTGGTACATAAACCTAACAATGAAAATCATAATTATCAAAGATTTCCTGATAAACGTTAAGTATATACTACAGGCCTGGAAATAAAGGTTACTCATAAGATGTTTTGTTTACCAGATTGAATCACAGTGAAAAATGTATTGAACTCCTGTCATTCCATTGTACGGGTTATTCCAGTTAAATGGATGTGGGAGGGTACAAAAGGAAGTATTATTTTTTAACCTGGGTCATGTATGTTTGTAACATGAAACTGAATTATCTTTAGACAGACAAGGTGGTAAACTATATGCAAAAAACAACTTTATTTGTACAATTTCTCTTTTCTCTCTCATTTTATTTTTATTCTTTTAATCATGTTAATGAGCTTCAATTTCTAGTCACTTTTTATTTTTTGCAGTTGCACCCAACAACAGTGGGCTGTCAAAACCTGTCCTCCCAAATATGAATATTTGTTTATTGCATTTAAAACCTTTAAGGGGCATTAGCTGTTAGATATAAAAAAAATTAAATATGATTTTTTTGTTCAATCATTAATGAAAGTGAAATAGCAAAATAATAATTGGCTTTTAGCAGCCAGTTTAGTTCAATTTTGTCAAAATAAGCTGAGAAACATCGCTAATGAATTATTCACTTGCATTGAATCAGTATTCATGTGACCTTCAATTTAGCCCATTAGCTAGAGATTGGTTATGCATGTATTAGCTGTCTTCAGCCATTAAAAGGAAAAGAATGTCAACATTGAAAGTGTAACAAAGGTGAACCATTTCGTTGACTAATTCGATCCACAAAAAAATCATTCTTCAACAGGTAAAAACGATGATTAACTTATTCTTTTAACCTATAACATGAAATCAAACAGACCTAGAAAAGTCCAATTGCATGAGGTCGCTATCTATTTATATGACCATCAAATTTTCGGAGGTCATCTCGATGGTGAAAAAGATGGCGTCTAGACTAAAATTCACATGAAATGCTGATATATATTATCAAGTCTATGCATTGTTAATGGTTTATTTCAGACTTATTGTCATTTGGATATACGTTTTAGTTAGTTATAAATCAAATATGAGAATTTTAGTTATATCAGTGAACATGAATTTGACAGCTAATGCCCCTTTAATCACTTTTTCAAGGAATATTTTTTTGTCTGCAAGCTTAATGATAAAAGAAAGAAATATGCCATGTCCAACCTAAAGAGGGTAGTAAACATAACAGAATAATAAATACCTTCTGTAAAACTTCATCACTCATGCCTGCTTCCTCCATAGGCTCTGCTGCTTCTGGTCCAGCTTCGGCACCAATAGACTGAAAAATAGCAACTAACGTCTAAATTTGAAAAATATCGACAACTTTGAAAGAAGTTCTGTTGTCTCTATCTAATACAATAGCTAAATCGTATCTATTTCATATTTATTAAATAAATTCATCAGTGCATTACAATTTATTATTTTTTTATGACAGCTGTTGAAGGAATATTGCACAAATGGAACAGCTTGACTCATATAGTTCTACCTGAGGTTAGTAATTACTTTAAAAAGATAAAAAAAAAAAAAAGAATAATTTACAAGAAAACAGGTATATACTTGTGTATGTAATAATATTGATTTTTAATTATTACCTACAATTCTAAAGACAGATTTTCATAAATGCTCATTTAAGTACAAGGTCCATATTCTTGCTTCCCATATATTAATTTTTAGGGAAAACTACTGCTTTTAGATATCTTTTATAAATTGTATTTATATGTTTTTTTAACATACATTAAGAAAAAAAAAATAAAAAGCAAATTAATGCTTTTAAAATATCAAGAACAGATTCCAATTTGTTGAATTTCTCTCTCTCTATATATACATACAGGTTGGGGTGCTGGTGCTGCATAACTTCCAGGGGTAATGCCTGCCTGGGGTTTCAGTGTGGCCAAAGCTGAAAATACAATTATTTAGTTTAAAGATCTTGTAGGGATCTAAATTAGAGGTATAAAAAATAAGATGTGGTATGATTGCCAATGAGACACCTCTCCACAAGAGGTAGTATAGTTGTCAGTAGTCTAACAAATTACTAATTACCTATCACTTTTCTAATGGTCTTTATTTTGCTATAGCAGTTAATTTAATTCCACATCGATCGTCAAGTTAGCTGCCTTTGTAATTAAAAATAAACCATCTAAATTAGAAATATTTCATGCAACTACATATAAACATTTTTTATCAATACTTTTAAATATAATTTCAACCATTAAATCTTTTCTTAATATAAACTTGCACCAATTTACCTTCTCTGGCAGCTGTTACTTCCTTGGTTAGACGAGCAATCACACGACATGCAGCATCGTGTTGATACAAAGCATGAGATAATTCTGAAATCAAAATATTCAAAGAAATTAAATGTCTTAAATCTTGTTTTTTCTTTCAATTATTAAATTAAGGAGCTGTGTTATGATTGCCACTGAGACAACTACCCAACAGAGACCAAAGGACGAGGATGTAATTAAACAACTACAGGTCTATAGCCTTTTACAATGAGCAAAACCATTCTGCATAATAAGCAATAAAAGGCCCCAACATGACAAAATGTGAAACAATTCGAAAGACTCTAAAATATATACAAATAAAATCTTGATTCTCATTTTCTATCGTAATGCTTTAAATTTAGACATGGTCTGAACTTGTATTGTTCGTGCAGATCTAGATCTGTGAATTAATTTTTCTGAACACATTTTCACTCCCTGATGTGTAAATTATAAGCAGTGGAACAAGTTTAAACTCTACTTTTTGCATGCTGCAGAGTATATAATTTTTAAAGAGGATCCTGTAATTGAAATTGTAATTTAATATTGGAAAGTTGGAAAATTGTGGTTTTAAATCAAGATTTTGCCATAAACCTTTAATTTGAGATAACCAAGATATATACCTTGTCGTGCAGTCTGTAGCTGCTGTCTGAGTGTAAAACTATGTAACATTTGAGCATCCTACAATAAAATTACAAATAATTATATAATAATAATAATATTCTGTAGATATTCCATTTGTACAATGAATTATCTCCATACATTCCCTATTAAAAATAAAAGACATTACTTTTCATTCAAAAATAAATATTTAACAGGCTTTATATCTCAAAACCATTCAAACAGACCTATTATTAATTCCCTTTAAACTGGTGTATTGTAAATAGCCTCGTGATTTTTTTTTAAATCTAGACATTGCTATTTTGAATATCTGCAGCAAAATGTCCTTAAATTCACTACAAAGCTTCAGAAAGTTATTAAAGCCATATACATGTATAACCAGACTAAATATCTGAATGTGCGATAATATATGCAATTTAAACAGATAAACTTCATACCCATTCATCTTGTAAAACCTTCAATATGGCTGGGATACTAGTGGCAGAAGCAGGTCTTGGTTTTACTAGAGGGTTGGCTAAAAGTAACAAAATACACATGCAATCTATTTAACTTTTATTAACATTATAATCACAAAAACTTACACTTTATTATAAACTTATAAACATGATACATGTACATTGTAAATATGATTATTCTATGTAATTGACAATACTGTTAATTTTTAAAGAGAACCTAAAACTTCCAATGTAATTTACTCATTTATGAAATACAATTCTACAGAGGTCAGCAAATAAACATTCTTTGTGAGGCAAAAAAAAAAATATATGTCTGTTTAAGGTTACATCATCAAAAAAATAGGGTAGGTAGGTCGGCAATTCCATTTCATTTTGTCTTTTGCAACATGATTTTGAGTCGTATGGTCCATCTTGCTGTTGTCTGAGTTCACCTATATGTTAAATGATTAGATTATTTCCGTTGGTTATTGGTAGGGGAAAATGGCAGCAAAGTGTTTATTTCATCCCACAAGTAGTGATTTTCCTTTAAACAGCAGTGATATTCACGATTGTGAACATTGGGATGTATCAGGCAATTGCTTAAATTAATTGGCAACTCTAACTTTGCTTTTGACACGAGTTCAGTTAATTTTTCACTTCATGACGAAGTGGACACTTATTCCCTTGACTAATACAAATGACTTGCATGAAATTTTCTAAATATTACATGTAAACTGTCACTGCTGTACATGTATGAAGTTTTCAAGTGTTAATATTTTAAGAATTAAGAACTGCTTGTCCTTGGAAGCTGTTGACTTCTGTTCAAAGGGTTTGTGCACCTTAATAGTTATGTTTTAACTATATTATGTTTTTTGGGGCTTTTAATAATCTTTTCCCGCCATGTGTTACATGTATGTCTTTTTTTATGCCCTCATTTTTGTACCAAAGTAATGAGTACACACATGAATCTTGTAAGTGTATTTTCCTAACTAAATGTGCTACTTAATTACAAAATGTACCTTTAATTTCTATTAGGGTTTCTACAGCTACAGATTCTCCATTCATTGGATCAACCCCATTCTCTTTTATATATTTCTCTATCAGTCGTTTCTCATAGACATGTCCTGATACAGGGGAGATAACTGGTTGTTCAGGAACTTCATTACTGACTAAAAGAAAATTTTTACTTACATTAACATTAAGCAAACAAGTTGATCAGGATTCTCAATGATATATACTAATCTATTTTAAAACGTAATGCTATTCTACCGGTGTTTTTTGTTTGTTTGGGTCTACAAAAATTCTACTACATGTTTGTTTGGGTCTACAAAAATTCTACTACATGTACATGTAGGTCAGAAAAAACTTTTTCACATGGATTTCAGTAAGAGTTATGAATATTTTGCAGCTTGGCATTTGATCATTACTTGTAACATTGAATATATTTCCTTTTGATTACAAGAAATTGAATTGGTTGGAAGAAGAGAGTTGAAAATCTAGATGAAAAATTACAGGTTAAAAACATTGTCATAAAATCAAATGAAATCTATTCACTTCTAAAGTGAGCTAGGTGAAAAACAGGAATTTTAATGTCTGTTTGACAGGTCTACCTTTGGTTAAAGGAATGTTTATAACAACTTGACCTGTTTTGAGGCATATTATTGAGGCACAGAAAATTTCCACAAGTTAATGTATTAAAGCACTCAAATAAAGTTTACTACATGTAGGCTTAACCCATTTTCTAACATGTTTTGCATTTATTTTGTTTTAACATATATTTTTTCAATTACCAATATAATTATATACTTAGAAATTATTTATCGCATTCCTGCCATGCCTTCAAACTTTTCTAGATCCACATGTTTTCTGTACACCAGTAAATTTTCCAGTGTCTCAATATTGAGTAAATTTTGGGGTGTAACACATGACCATAGTTTATATGGTAAATATACACACTGACACATCAAGATCTTTTTTCTTTAATCAGTTTATATATTTTTCCATGAATCCAGAAATCATGGTAGATTACTTAATTATCAATTGTTTATCAATAAAGACTAAAGTATCAGAGGTGAATGACATTGTTTTCTTTTAAGACATGCCTATAAGAACGAAAATGTAAACCTTTATTTTCAATGCAAAAGATTACATTTTCGTTCTTATCAGCATGGCATTATGAAACAATATCATTCAATAATGACAATATTTCAATTGTCATGTTTATTTATGCAGCCGAACTAGAAAAACTAAAGCAATACACTATTTTGTATTCAAGTTGACATTTGTTGTTCAACAAATTCCTTAGAGCCCTAATAATTGCTGTTATCACATCAGCAAAATGCTCAAACAGCTCATAAACGATTTGAATTATTTTTGTATATTATCCTTCAATTCTCATGCCTGTTTAGCCGGCATGGCATGCATGTTGTTGTAACGTGTGTATTTTGAAAAGAAATGAAATTAAACTTCATTGTCGACATTAATTGGGATTGAGTTAACTTGTACGGGTTACTGAAATGCAGTGGACGGAAAAGGGATTAGAAATATATGAGAAAACATTAGATTTTTCTTTTTCTTTCTTACTTGCACAGCAAAGCGCCATTTTGAATCTGTCACGTGATGAAATTATAAAATCAGATCTATAGTCGGAAATTATTTCGGATAATTTTGGTCAGTCAGGTGTGTCCTTAATACTAAGCAACCGTAAAGGTAGTTTCTTAATGTGAAAAATACATAAATCTGACTTAAATTCAAATACACACATACAAATTTTAATTCCTTGATTTAGAATCTTTTTGTTCTAATTTCTGATAATCTAGAGATATATCATCTTACCCTCTAAGCACAGGGACTCGGTTACTGAGCGGCAGATTAAGAAAATAATAATCAATGCCAAAGAAATTAGAATTACATTTCAATTACATTGATTTTCAAATGTAATTAATAACATCACAATTACATTGATTTTTCAAATGTAATTAAGTACATTACAATTACATTGCCAATGTAATTTTAAAATTACATTTCAATTACTTTTATCCAAAGACATGTAAAGGTCATATCATAAAGAATAAAATCATAAAAATGACAACAGGCTAGAATAGAATGAAACTTATATATATATATATACGTGCACTTTTTAACAGTGAAAACATTTGAACAAGATTTGTTTAAAAAAAATAGTTTTTAAATTTCTTACGTCATTGTTACATTTTTTTTAAAATGTCCTGTACCAAGTCAGGAATATGGCAGCTGTTATCAAATAGTTCGTTTCTATGTGTGTTGGCGTTTGTTTTTGTAGTATTTCGGTGTTCCTGTTGTTCATTTGTTTTCCTCTCATAGTTGATGTGTTTCCCTCGGTTTTGGTTTGTAACCCGGATTTAATTGTTTTCTCTCAGTCGATTTATGACTTTTGAACACCGGTATACTACTGGTGCCTTTATTTACATTTAATCACCATTAGATTTTCAATGCTGATTATTTGATTGCGTTTCTTATTTTTTATAGGAAAACAATTTATAAAGATGTATATATATACATATAGATCCAGATTTATATATTCTTAAAAAAAAATTCTGAAAATTTCAAGTTTCTACTCAAAATGTTGTTTTGAATTTTAAAGGTTTTCTATGTACCTCATGTTAAATTTGAAGTAACTTTAAAGCTTCCATTTATTACAGAAGAGTAATGGTAGCATTTTCCAGACTTGTCTTTTGACTTTTTTAAATTCAAATACACCCATACAAATTTTAATTCCTTGATTTAGAATCTTTTTTGTTCTAGTTTCTGATAATCTAGAGATATATCATCTTATCCTCTAAGCACAGGGACTCGGTTAGCAGATTAAAAAAAATAGTAATCAATGTTTTTTATTTTTTTATTTTTTTTTGGTATTTCCTGTTTATTTGGATTTTTTTGTTTTTTGTTTTTTTTTTGTTATACAAATAGACAGGAAATACTAAAAAAAAATAGGAAAAAAACATTGATTATATTTTTTTTTAATCTGCTAATCTAGTCCCTGTGCCTCTAAGGTATCAGATCCATGTAGAACGGTATACATGGTTTATGTCAGATCCGAAAAAATATTCAAAGAAGTATTCTCATTCTGCCTTACTTATGAAGAAGTGAAATGATTTATTCCCCAAAATACAACGCAATGATTGAACAACAAAAGTATTATTACTGACCAGTACGACCGTTAGCAATATGTCTGAGTATTAAGCCCAAAAGATTTACTTGAAGGACAATTCCTATGTTTACAATTGTTACATTAGTAGATAATGGCGTGTTAACGTAAAAAGCTCCGTATAAAATGGGACTATTATTGTTAGTATAACCAGGTTTAGTCCCAGGTATAAAATACAATTTTTTTGATAAATTCCTGTCATACTTCCACAATAAATAAGGTATGAGTGATCTAATTAAGAGGAGAGTTTACATAGTAGACAGGGTATAGAAAACAAAACTGTCAACGGAGACAAACTAACTTTCAAAGGAACGTCATAGACTGTCTAATACCTACATAACAAAGAAATAGTTAATATTTTACAATATTTGGAACCAATTAACGGTTGAAAGTTCACTAGTCAGAAGAACCGAAACATGTATAATGGATGCAGATATAAAACAAAATCTAAAAGATTTCTGGAGTAATTTAGGAAAGCAATTTATAGATGGCTTTCTTTCGATGTTCAGTAGCAGCTTTCCTTTTATTTCAAACGTTGTTAAACGCGTTAAGTATACAATTTTTGACAGAAGAAGTAGATATATGAACTTACTACAATTTTCTAGTATTTATTATTTCAGTATAGTACCTATATGTAAAACACCGCCTCGGTTGTCTCTTGAGAGCGTGCTTGCCTCGAGTGCGGGAAGGTCGTTGGTTCAATCCCCGGCCGGGTCAAACCAGACTTGAAAGTTGGTATTTGCTGCTGCTTAAGCACGCGGAATTGAGAAGTAAGAGCAAAGACTAGTCTGCTCGGAGTCAGAATAATGTATCTGGGTAGGGTGACATGTATTCCTGTGGACTGTTACTTTGTGAACTAGCACGTCAAAAATCTGGCTCAGCATGTTACTTTTGAAATGTTAAATGCAATTATAAATCAGATTCATATTTTGAAGAAAGCATCCAATTATTTTTTTTAATCAGCTTTCCGAGTTCTCTCTGTGCTAAGATTTGCAACTAGGAGTAAGTGAGTCGCTGATGACTTTACGACAATTTACTCCGTTAATTTTAGAAAGTGAGCGATATTCTAGATCCCGTTTTAAAAAGAATTTGGATAAACTCCAAGTATTGAACAATGATAAGGTTTCCTGTAACAACTGATCATATCTCGAATTTTCAGTCTCAAAAAACTTAGTGTGTTGGTACAACCATGATCAATGTCTGAAGTAGTACTTAGATGCATAAATATAGTTGAAAAATATATTTCTGGTAGATTTTGTTGTAAGTGTTTGATAAGTAATTCATAGTATTGAGATACGTTTTCAAACATTGCAGTCATTGAATATACTAGGCAAGTTGATAAAACCAAGTCCCTTTCTAAGATTTTAAGTTAAAACAAATGAGTTTACAATATTACAATTTGATGAGATGAATTTTAATGTGAACAATGAACGAAACTGAATCTACGAAGTGATCGAATTACTCTGGAGATATTTAGAAGATCTTTATAGAGCCTCTATAGAGGCGTATTGAAAGGGGGCAGGAGGCCCTAGCCCCCGTTTTGGAGTTACATTTATGGTTACTGCATAGAGTTTTTTATAGTTCCACTATTAACCTAGCCTAGTTTGGGGACCCCCCCTTTTTTTCAAAATCATGGATCCGTTTAAAATGATTTTAAATACGTATACCAGGTCCATAATATAAATAGACGAGGTTTAAGATAGTTTTGCAAGTCCCTTGATGTTATCACTTTGGCGAGGGATATACACTTTAAGCGTTTTTCTAATCCGGGAAAGTCCCCGTAATTTTCGAAACATTCCAAACTGTCATTTTTTATCCATTTTCCTTGTGAACAATTTCTAAGTGAACTTGCATTATACTTTCATTATAAGTTTTCTTTAATTCAAGTCTGTAGAAATTGACGAAAATAATTTCCCGAAATATCTGCTTGAGCAAAATTACATTCATTTCTCATCACCAGAAATTATCTATTTTTTGTTTTCTTTGTCACGATGTACTATGACGAATATGTGACAGGGATATTATTCCCACAAACAATCATTACATCTGTTGATTTGACATGTTTTCGTCGATTTCCCCGTTTCTTAATAATTGTATGATGTCATTGGGATTGTCTTATATGTATTTTTATTCATAAGTTTTTGCTTTTACTTCTTTCAAAAATGACTTTCCTTAAAAATCGACAGCAGCATTCTGTCTTCATTTCTGTATTTTGTAAATTTTGATTACATTTTTCTATATTCTTTCTTGTTTGTTTTCTCATTAGATACTATTTATTGCTATAAAATTGAATGATAAATTATCTATTTTATTATCAAGACTATATAAGGATTCAATTGGAAATAAGCTTTTTTGCTTTCATGGGTCATCCTTGGGTTAAGGCATTAGACGTATCTATAGTCACAACCATTACTATATCTATAGGTTGTATTAAGCTAAGTTTCTTAATCTTATTATGTACTTGTATATATTGGCTTTACCTGACTAACACAATTATTATTATTATTATTATTATTATTATTATTATTATTATTATTATTATTTTCCACCATTTTCTCTATTCTGTAAACCGTCACCCAGATGCGCTTAATTACAAATATTTACCATTTCGTTTATTTTGACATGTTTATTTCTATTTCCGATTTGATTCTCTGGTGGCTCGCTCTTAAACTTCTTAATGTTATCCTAAATAGAAAAGGTTGTTTAATTCTGTTATGATATGACACTTTTTGTTTTCTTCTATCTTTCTTTCTGTGATTGTTAATTATTTCCTATTTTTAATTAGTCGTTGCAATTTATTAATTTCTATACTATAACATTGTTCATTTCTTGAAGTTTCCTCCCATATGTGTCATTAGCATTCAATTTTTATTTATATATACTACGTATCATATTTAATGGTCAAACTAGAAATTTGACCACGACGATGATACAGTCATTATACGTGGTCTATGTAGATCATAGAAAAACATAAGTTATGTGTTGTACAAGTACCTTTTTCCTAATGTCGTAACTACAATCCCGTCCCCTTTTCCAGAATGTGACCTACCGAATTAGACTAATTACCGAGTTTGTATTAACATGAGCAACACGACGAGTGCTTCATGTGCCACATGTGGAGCAGGATCTGCTTTCCCTTCCGGAGCACCTGAGATCGCCCCCATTTTTTTGGTGGGGTTCGTGTTGCTCAGTCTTTAGTTTTCTATGTTGTGTTTTGTGTACTATTGTTTGTCTGTTGGTCTTTTATTTTTCAGCCATGGCGTTGACAGTTTATGTTCGACTTATGAGTTTGAATGTCCCTTTGGTATCTTTCGCCTCTCTTTTAAAAAATTCTCTGATTCGCATCACATTGATCATTTCTTTACCTGTATGTAAGCAGTCTTTCCAGAAAAACCGTTGTCAAATCATATCTTTTAAAATATCT